GGCCTCATCTCGGCTATTAAATACCTTAAGTGCCATTTTCACAAGATCTCCTTGGGGGGTTTGAGGGCCATTCTCTGCCTGTTTAAGTTTTCTTCGAATATCAGGGAAGGATTGGGAAATAAAATGAGAGTATGAGAGTTGAGAATAATTATTCCATCCTTGGAAGATGGGTCTAGCTTAGTATAGCGGGTTAAAGTTTCAGTAAAGCACCCTAAAAAGTCAGCGGGGTTTTCAGTTGGGCGTTGGATAATTTCTCTAAGTTTGTCAAAATTGACTCCCCTATAGGAGGCAGTCTGTAGGCCCACAAGGAGGCAGGTGAGCATATAATTTCAGGTGGCTAGCAATGGTGGGGTCCTGATAATCCCAATGTGGGTTATTACGTGGCACAGCCGTGGATCCCACCGGGAGAGTGAGATCTGTGCGGTGGACGTCATCGGCATGTGCCTGGGCTACTAACCAAAATCTTTCTTTTTCATCCGGAGTTAAAGTGGAGGAAAGAATAACATATATATCATGCCAGGTCATATCATATGTTTGGGTTAGGTATTTAAATTGTTTAATAGAGAAGGCTGAGTCATTAGAGAAGGAGCCAAGTCTTTTTCAATTTGGGAGAGGTCAGTCATGGAAAAGGGCACATGGACTCTGGTAATGCCATCAGCTCCTGCCACCTCCCGGAGTGGGTAGAGATGGGCTGAGCATGCTTGGGAGGAGGTATGGGAGCAGGTATGGGACATGGATGGGGAGGAGAGGGTGATAAAGCAGGGGCTGAGGGTAAGGCTGGCGGTGTTGATTCCTGAGGAGCTGATGGCCCAGGGTCAATTGTAACTACTGTAGAAGGGGAATAGGGTGGCGACTGTTTGGGAGAGCCAGCAGAGGTGGAAGGAGGAGGGCCTGAGTAATGGGAGGATGGGGTGGGAGAAGAGATTAAAGTAGAGGACTGGTGGGAGGAGTTGGGAGGTGGGCAGACAGAGCCCGTGAGGTCACAAGTAAGAGAAGAGTCTTCAGGAGAGGGGGCAGGAGGAGTTTGGGACTTTGCGGGGGGGTGGTGGTTGTCGGATTTGAACAGTATTACAGGATTAGAGCAGGGAGGATCGAGAGCGGAGAGAAAAGCTTGAATGTATGGAATCTCAGACCACTTGCCATTGCGATGGCAGAAATTGTCAAGATCTAGAAGTGTTTGAAAATCAAAAGTACCGTTTTCAGTCCATTGCGATTGATTGTCTAGCTTGTACCAAGGCCAAATGGTGTTGCAATAATAGATCAGTTGCTTAGGTTTTATATTGTCTTAGAGACCGAGGTTCCCTAGGGAGCGGAGAAGGCATCCCGGGGGCGTGGATGCATCTAATTTAGAGTGTGTGGTCCCCATAATGTAGAAGAAAAGGAGAGAGAGAGAGGGAGAGAGAGAGAGGCAGGTGCCTTTGTGAGTTTACTCTTCAGGCCAATATAGATCTAGGTCAAGATCTAGCCTCCCTTATGTGGCTCAGGCAAGGAAAGCAGAATCGTCTGGTTGCCGTTTGGTCAAAGTAAGCTGGAGGGGCTGTCGAGCTCTCACCTTAGGCAGAGGAAAGGAAAACGGGGAGGGAGAGCAAGAGAGAGAGAGAGAGAGAGAGAGAGAAATGTCACCTGAACGGGTTCCCAAGTGCAGGCGTCCCTGGCCTGGGTTGCCGTCCGACAGAGAATGCCCAACCGGTTAGCCAGGAGTCCCCGTGCTAAGCGGTGGGCGCCCCAAGCAGGGGTAGAAGGTGTGCCTGGCACGGTGCCTGCGACTTCTGAGACCAGAGAGCAGGCAGCCTCGAGGAGGGTGACACTTACCGAGTCTGAGGAGTAGGTCAGGTGGAGAGCAGTGGAAGAGAGAGGCTAATGATGGATGGGAAAGCCAGCAAGGCAGTAAGGTCCAAAATCCACAGTCCGGAGGCACATGGGGTCAATTCAGCAGTCTGGGTTCAGGAGAGGGCAGGGCATAAAGGCCAAGGGACCAGCCCTGGGCCGGAGCGTCCTGCTAACCTCTCCCGGGTTTCGGTACCAGATGTAAGATCCTGCTGAATAAAACCCATGCCACTTGTGAAAAAGAAAGATTTATTGGGAATCCAGACCTCAGGGCTGTCACTCTCAGGTTCACAGTGAAACAGCTTGGCTGAATTGGGTAGTGGGCTTTATAGGAGGGGCTAAGCCATGGGGGAGGGAGAGAGTCTCTGGTCTCTGATTATCTGTGATCACCAGATGGAACAGGTCGATATGCCTGAGTTGGTTTGCAAGCAGAGAAACAATCAGGCAGGGAGAAGCAAGCAGTCATAAATCAGGGGGTCTGGTTTCAGTGCTAGCTTCTGGACCTTCCACCCACACCAAGAATGCCAGGGACCTAACAGTAACATTATTGATTCCTGTTAATACAAGGCTAGTGATTGCTTATTTTCTGCGCTGGCTTTTTAGCATCCTACTAGTATAATCAAACTTGTTTTAAGTTGTTTTCTCTCTCCCTGTGCTGAGTAGATTGAACAAAAAAGCTTGTTCAGTCAATTTCTGTGGGTACATCATGGTTACTGCTTTTCTCCTACCCAGGTGAATGTTCTGCCTCTCTTTAAAAAATTAAAATGATTGATGATGATCATTAAAACGTTTCTTTTCTCAATTAAAATTCCGTAAAAATTCCTTCTTTGCTTTAATAGGAATAGCAAGCATGCATACATTCTTGTGACAAGGACAAGGATGTTAATACAGGGGAAAAAAACTCACCGTACCTCTCTGCGCTTGTTTGGGTGTATGTGAACAGTTGTCTGCAAATGCAAATCTTGCATCACCATATTGTTCTTGTGATATTTCTTAGTCCATATATGTATTGGTAAATGATACATAGACACCCAGTGATTTACCTCAGTGTCTCCTCCCAAGCCATCAGCCTGCAGAGGCAGCATTGTCTAAAGGGTTTTTTGATACTGTTGCTTTTGGAGGAGTATGAGTAAATCACCAGTAAGAGGAAACACCAAGCTTTAAAGTTTTAGCAGAAACTCAAAGAAATAGAAACACAATCCAGGTTGCAGGACGCAATGACCAAGTGCTATTAAGATATCATGTGTACCTAGGTAAATGTTCAGATTTCATGCCAAGCCCCTGATAGTCATTTCTTTGAAGGGCCTATGTGCAGAAAAGTGAAATAGTTCCAAAATTCATGTGTTATAAAAATGTAAAAATGTAAGTGATAATATTTTTAAAATGATATGAGTGAAACAAGACTATTCCTCTCTCAAGCAATGAAGTACAAATTTACCACTCCACTCCTTTGTGAAGCATCATTCTTTCTACCCTCTTGAATGATTCCCATCATGTGCCAAAATAAAAATAAAATAAACTCTCTTGATTCAGCATTTCCTTCTAGCTATGTTTCTACATTTTATGCTTTTCTTTATAGCTGAATGTCTAGAAATTTTGTTGACATTTCATCATTTTTCATTACCTTTCCAACCTCCTCCACTCCAGTCTCGTCTCTGTTTCCAAAACTACACTTTGTCCCCATTTTCTAGACCTCTCAGCATTCTACAGTCAGATTCCTCCCCTTCTTGCAACTGTCTCCTCCCTTGGCTATCAGGTTTCCCTAGTTTTCCTCCCCAGTCTCTCTGCCTTCCTCTGCATATCACTTGTTAGATTCTTTTACATAAAATCTAAATATTAACCTGACCTTCAAAGCCCCATGTGATGTTATCATCTCCCTTTTTATTCTCATCTGAGACTCCCACCAAATTTTGCTCATGCTGGCTCTCGTTTCCTCCTACCTCCTAAGTTTCTTCCCACTTATCTAAGGTCTTTCTGCTTGAAATTCTTTGCCCAATACATGTACAATTAAAAAGTATTAAGAAATGCACTGCAATGTTAACAAGCATCAAGTTCAGAGTAGTGGTCACTTTAGTGGATTGGAAAGGGAGAAAGATGGTGAGCAAGTGGGCATAGGGAGCTTGAATTGGTCATGTTTTCTTTTTTATCCCCTTATGACAGGTAATGGGTACTCAGGTTCTGATTATTATTTTTATTTTTATTTCATTTTTGAATTAGCATACATTAATAATATGAGGAGGTTTCATTCTTAAAATTCCATACATGCAAACAGTATACTTTGAACAAGTTTACCCCCTCCATTATATTTCCATTCCCTCCTTCCTCCTCCCTTTTATAAACACTGTTCACTGGCTTTCATTATGCTGTCTTCATGTGTGTATGTGTCATGCTTCCATCCTCTTCACCCCTCAGCATCCTTTCCTTTCCACCTCTGGCTGATTCCTCTCCCAAATAGTCCCCATTTGTATTCATGCCCCATTATTACCATCATTTTAGGTGTAGGTTCTATAAATGATCAGGAAAATATTACTATTTAAACAGTTTTCTGTGGCAAAATACTTCTTAAGTTTAAGGAGTAAAACAGGTAATATAAATAAAATGCTTGATATAAAGGCAATATTAATATTTCCTATTTGAAAATACACAATTGCTAAGAATTAAAAGCACCAATTCTGTATAGATAAATGCCCCAAATAATTGAGCAGAAAATTTACAAAAAGACTATAAAAAAAGATTTAAGATGTGCTCAAGCACAATAACAAGCACAGAAACTAAGGGAATTTTCAACTGTTTGTAAAAAATGTGGAGCATCTCATTCTGCCATGGCATAGTCAGACTTGCACTTGGTAAATTCACTTTGGAGAAACTTGTGCCAGAAAGTTATCACCAACTTCTCATTACTGTCTTTGACTTATAGAATTGTAGATGTTTTTTTTTTTTTTTGCTATTTTACTTAATTTTTAATTAAAAATGCTGTGGCACTAATATTTATTAACAATACACATACAAGTTAGCAGTATTCCCTAGCTGCTAAGTCTTTTAAACCAATTAAACTAAGAAATAGTTTCAATATCTTATCATGGATTATTTTGCTCTTCGGGAAGCAACTTGATTTTAAAATGATGTTTGTATGAGAATATATATGAATTTATAGTTTTCTATTTTTTCTTTAGGAAAAGAAAGAAAGGCAGGAAAGAGTCGAACGAAAACAGAAGAAACAGCATTCCTTTCTTGAAAATGAGGCACTTCCTCCATGGAGCCCTCCACGCAGAACTATGCTTTCAAAAGTGTTTTGATAATTCTAATTCTTACATTATTTGTCAGTTCACCAACTTTAGCTGTGGATTTAAAACCATTCATTCAATTATTTATAGTTAGAGGAATCTATTTCAATTAAATGCCAGACACTTCTGCTGACAGTGAGAAAGATACTTTGGTATTTAATCAGTGCAAACATATTTTGAACCATAGATAAACTGCCTGAAATGAAAAGTTTTCATTAGTTCACTCTTCACATTAAAATGCATAAAGCTTTATCATGTCCTGATAATTCTTAAAGTGGAATGATTCATGATCACTTTCACTAAGCTCTGCATATTAATTATTACTAATCCCAATAATTAAATGCAAACCATTTAGGTACAATAATTAGAAATAATTTGTGGATGCTTGTGCATCTAGATTCAGGTTTTTAAATGACCACTGGGAAGTATACATGTTACTTTTTTTTTGAGACTGATCTTTAGCTCTAAGCAGTTAGATCTGTACTGTGTAAGGTAGAATCTTGTCAACTGAGGCAATAGTTCAGCAGAACTCTAATGAACATGATATTTTATTTAGACTGTGGCCTTATGTTTTAATGTGAGTGCTTTATCTGTTCAGGCTTATGTGGCAATCATAAGCACTTTACAATGAGCTCACCTCTGAAATTTCTTTTTAAATTCTGATGCTTGCTTTATTTACCATTTCAGTGATGCCAAAAGACATCAGTTTCATGGTAGTGATATGCTTACACATTACCCATGGAAATTCCACAAGAATGGAATTGTGTCTAGACTAATAGTCATTATTTCTAGACTAAAGCCATGAAGGTGATAAAGGCAAATTTTGTCTTCTTAACTAATCCGAGTTTGTATTTACAAAGCAGAAAATGGGAAAGCAAATTTGTAGAAATAGTCAAAAGAACTTTTATTTATTTATTTGATTTCTGCATATCTTCATGTTATCTGGTCTCATTATTGACCAGGTCATTTATTTTAAGACATACCAGTTTTCTGCTCTCAAGAGGTGAAATGCTGCTTGGTCAATAATGTAATTCAGAGATGATGGATGAAAAGAAACAGTTACTATTTATTAGACATTTCAGTCATCTCTTCTGAAATGTCATTTACAAGTGTCATTGACAAGTGTCATTTGTCATCTTTATCACAACTATTCAGGGTAGGTGTTATTACCTTCATTTTGAGATAAAAACACTGAGTCTCAAAGAAACCAAAAACTTGCCATGCCTCTGTCAAGTCAGGGCCATAGCTGATCCTGGCTGTGTGAGTCAGGTCCTGGCTGAGTGGTGCACCTCTCTCTAGAGCCCTTGTGCTCTTGTCACACTCCCATGTGTCCTCACAGATTGCAGGTTCTGTCAACACTCTGTACGAATTAATCTTGTGAACATTTTAACCCTCAGAGCCTAAAATCATGTTTTGTTTTCTAGAGATTATCTGACCCTGAAGAAATATCTGCTAGTTATTAGATGGCAGACCTCATTAAGGCTATAAAATGAAATATGAATTCATAAGATTTATGGAGGTACTCAAACATCTGTCAGAAAACTCAGTACGTTATGCAGTGAAGGCTTTGAGATTTCAAAAGGAATTTCAGAAGATTGCAATTGTTGAGAACTTTCCTGCAGTGTGTGTTTTAGATAAGATGTGATGGATCACTTTGTAAAATTACACCACATAAATAAAAGAAACTTCTAGATCAAACTTGAAGCTTTTTATACTGTCAGAACTAGAAGAATACTTGAAATTGAAATGATTACCAGCCATGTGTATTATCAGCATAGGGTTCAGGACCTCTCTTACCAGCGTGTCCCCATGATACTGAGTGCAATGCTACTAGAATGGACTGGTATTTCTTGTACTGAATTAGATATTCAGAGCTAAAAAAAAATCTGCAAATTGCAAGGAACTAAAAGGAAAAACAGAAAAAGGTACAGACCATACATTTTGCATTAAATATTTACTTAAACATGATCATTTTCTTCACATTTTCTATTTAGTGTCTTTTTATCATCTCAAGTTGTGAGAGCTGAATGAAATTAATAAATTACTATAAAGTACTTGGCAGGTAACAAGGTAAGTAAATATTCAGTCATCGTTTATTTACCCCCATGATCCCTATGTTTTCCCATGTCATGACATAGATAGTGTTTGCAGTGATGATTTGGCATTGTACATTTTTAGCATCCAGGAAGAACTCTGCCTTTCTGGCTAGTCTAGGCTGTACCACTGAACAGGAAATAATGCCTAGTAGTAGAGCATCTTAAAAAGAAAATGAAATAGTGATTTCTTAGGGCTCCTTTTGAAGTAGATGTGTGAAAGTTCCAGCCAGTCATTTCCTTAATTGTGATTGGAGATTTTTGTCTTACTATGATAATATATTTTTGCCTCTTTATAGTAACCTGTATTCAGCCTTTGCTAAATTTATCTAGTTGAATAAAATCACTCTTCTGTAGCAGAAATAAAGCTAGTTTTGGGGAGGTGGGTAAAAATGCAATACTGTATTGTTTATTTTCTAAGATCCAAATGGAGAGACTCAAACCTGGTAATGTTCTCTTGAATATATTGATCTATTTAGGTGATATGATTTTTTTCAGATTTCCTTAGAAAGTATCAAATATCAATACAGATATCTACTCACTAAGTTTTGAAAATTTACTATATGAGAGAATATTTAATTCAACTTATGGATACTACAATGTTACAGACATTCATATTAAGCCTCTAGTTTTGTAAATTGCATTGGTCACTTGAAGGATGCTGAGATTTCAAAAGAAAATAGGAATTTTATGAGTAATTTAAAATGTTACTGAAAATAAATTGCCTTTGAATGTGCATTTATGGATAAGTTTAAATGTTAATATTAGAAATAAACTTACATAAAATTTAAGTCCCATAATAACTAAGAAAATGGTAATGTTAGATTTAAAAGAAACAATATGGCACTTTTGATCAGAGAGAGGTTATTACCTTCTTAAGGAAAGAAAACGAGAACTATTCACGGAGTACCAGTATTCCAATGGTTTGTGAACAACACATTGTGAAAATGTTTCTTGTTTTAAATTGTAATGAACTCATATTATTCACTCTTGCCAAAGAAGTACCTGATAGAAGTTTGGTGTCCTTGTTTGGTTTCCTTAGAGCAATGTGACTGTGCATCAGATTTTAGTAAATTAATAAATCTACCCAGACTCTTTATTTCTGAGTTGATTAAACTGATTTCCATGAGGTCATCTTCTCCAGTATCCCATGTCTAGTGTTGTCACTCAGGTTTCCCCATTGTCCTCTGCCCATCATTCTGTAATTTTGATAGTCTGATAAAATGTTCACACTAAATTTGATTATTTAGCTTATTGCCAATGTAGTTTAATTATTGCTCTCTCATCTTTTTCCTTTTTCCTACCCTTCCTTCTCTATAACTTGTCCTCAGGTCAAAGCTGTTAAAATGTGGGAAATAGTGAAGTTTCTTAAAATCCTGAGACATGCACTAAGATACAATATGGAGAAGGGATTTCACAAGCTGGAAGAATATGAATGTTAGTCAAAATCACTCTCAAAATAAACTTAGATTTCCCTAAGTTAATCTTGGTTTATACTTTCATAGTGTTAAATTAAAAGGTATTTAAACTCATATGCTTCCATTCTACACAAAAAATAGCAAATATATCATCTAGCTTACAGAATAATAAAATGCGGTATAAATGCTAAACTGGAAGCTTCTCTGAGTTCTTTTACTATAAAATGTCATGTCTGCTACTATTCTGTGTATGTGTGCTACATGTAATTGTATGATGCTCATCTGGGTAGACAAAACTCATGGTGTTGAGTGTAGGATGTTTTAGGATTTATTGGGGGAGTTGTATTTAATGTCTGCTTCTTTGTAGCATATTTTCATGTAATAATTTATTAAGGTTAACCATTTAATATTAATTTTGAGTGATATTACTAATTGACTCTCTGATAAAATGTATTAAATGTGTTGTGAGTTTTATTTGTGAACCAAAGATAAAAATAAATGATATGTTGATATATCTTTCATTAGAAATGGCTAAAAATTTGAACATAAAATAATCTTTTTTTACTTAAAATTTGAATATGTAACTGATTTTTACTGCACAAATTACAAAGGTAATATAATTACTAAATTATTAGGAAAATGCAAATCAACAAAAGTCACCCTGCTCCCATTTCCCAATTTAGCTGACTTTTTATACCTCTCCAATTTTCAGTTTCTGGTGCCTTTTCTCCTGTAGCTGAAATTAAGCTGGTTATGAAGAAGGCTCTGAATTTCTTACTCTGTCTCTATCTGCCTGTTTTTCTCTCCTGTTTCTCCTGTGCTATTTATGTATAAACTTTTATGTGTATGTGCATACATAATATATAAAATACAAACACTAATGTGCATACAAGATGTATTCAAACACATATTTTATTCTTTAAAAATGATCAAACTAAATACTTGGTAATCAGACTTTTCCATTCAACAGTATATCATGGACATACTTCCATGCTAATAGAACCTTCTAATAATTTTTGATGCTGCAACTATGACTTGTTTAACCTATTATGGGGTTATTTGTTTTCTTATAAGAGTTTACTATAGTAAATAAATGTAGCAGTGGTCATTATCCTTGTAGCCAACAGCCTTGTAGCCTCTATCCTTGTAGAAATGGATAACCTCATTAAATCTATAAAATTAAGAATCATCATCATATTGAAGGAGCTACTCATCTTTTATTTAGTATTAGAATGTCATAAAACACTGAGTTTTGTAACAAAAGTTTGAAATAGGTGGTTTTATGCATAAGGCTATCCTTGCTGCAGCACATGAACAAAATTTAAAAATTCCATGGGTACTTTTTAAGGTTATCAGTGCTAATAAAAACCTCATTAGTAAGGCTAGAAGCTTGTTTTTCCTTGGCAGTGCTGGGGTTTGAACTCAGGGCATACATGCTTGCCAGGCAGATGTCCTACCACTTTAGTTGGGCCCCAGCTCTGGTTATTTGGGATCACTTTTGGCCCAGGTAGG